AAAGTTATACCATCAGGGTAAAGTTATGGGTTGTTATAGCACAACACACAAACACAGAGCTTAACAATATTAAATGAACTTGAAATTCAGGAATTCGGCCATGAAGTTACAGAACAAAGAATTGGAACAAAATCCCTTATCCGATGACCAAAAAATAGGTTCAGGATCCAAATCATAATAAAATAGGAGATTGATCTTTTCTTAACAGTGTAGCTTTTAACGAATTAGCCTTGACAGAATGTATTTGCCCCAAAAACAAAAAATCAGTGCTTAGTGAAAGATGATTAAAGGAAAAGGGAAAAAAAATATATGTCAAGACACTCATTTATATAATAGAACAGAAAGGCTCCCACTAATCTCGCTACATTATGTCGCCAATCACCCTTTTTTTCTAGATTCTATAAGCAGGGCAATTTATAGAACCTGCTGGCTTGCAGACAGTAGACACATCAAAAAGTTTATCCGCTATCAATTCCTACTGATTTTAAACGAAAAATGGTTGAGGAAGAAGATCAAATCCAAAATTTATAGTTAAAGACACTAATTTTCAAATGAGTTTGAAGCTCAAGAGAAATGGCACTGGTTTGGCTTACATATGCAAAGAGTCCCACTTTGTACAGCGAGCTTAAATGAAATTTGCTCAGGCTACACGTACGATCCAGGGCCTCTAAGTATCCGATGCCTAGGCATCGCTGGAACAAACGAAATTAAACGAGGATCCCGTCCATGTGTTCTTGCCTTCTTGATTAGACTGGCACCACCATCCTAACGTAACAGAAAAGATCGCACATATGCTTGTAGATGCTAATAGAACAAAAATCACTCAGCAGTTGTTATGCTAAAACGAGACTTGGAAGACATACTAGGTAGTTGCTCGCGTAGCATGTATCAATTAGGCAATAGGTAGCATCAAGCATGGTATTCCTGTAACATAGAACATGGACTTTAAGAGAACTGTAATGATCGGCATGGAATCTTTACCTAGTTCACAACGGGAATAGCTTGATGACCAAGCCAACTGCGATTACAGATGGAACTGCTAATGTATACCAGCAGCACAGAATATATTTAGTTGAAAAATCACAGCAGGAGCAAGCTAGACACTTGCAGACATATTATCTGCTATTTTTTTAATTAAATTAAATAAATCAACCTCTACTTACAAGCAAAACATTTTACTAGCAGGAATAGCAGGAATGCACTTTGGGCTTTTTAAACAGCTTGATAGTTTCAAAAGGCTTCTTGATGACGGTATACTTGACTGTTACAATCTCAAATATAAAATCATGCTAACTTGGCTGTGAATATAATACCACAGCACCAAGAAGAGGAGCAGGTTTCATGAGGCCACGGAGATCTTTTACACAGACTGGACATTTCCCTGAGATTAGGTATGGGACTTGGCAGCCCCATCTTTCCATCCTCTTTGACGCGCCCTTAGCTCCCAGATTGATGTCAATTTCTTTTGTGCTGCTAATGTGGCTTCTGCTTTCTCCCTTGCTCCTTCACAGGTTTCCATCCCCGAATTGCATTTGTCAGCTTCCTTTTGATACTGGGATGCAATCTTCTTAGCCTCAAGCAGAGCTATATCAGCCCGCTGCTGATTCTCTAGTGCTTCAGTTTCCCGCAGCTGCAATTCCTCTTTCAGTAGCTCTGCAAAATTCCTCTCAGTATCTGCATTCACCTCTGGGTCATGCTTCGCACAATCTGCATAATATATGCCAGGCGGAATGAGATACCATGACACCATGGTTCAATCGTATCATTCACATAACATTTTATGGTTTACTACTGAATACCAAACATAGGCACATAATGAAATGAAGTTTGAGAAGATAATTATTTTGAAATACATATACATATGTGCATTGCACCCTATGTTAAACAAGAAAACCAAGCTCCGTTAATTGTTTTGAAGTTTCTTTTAAGTATGCAGATAATTAAACAACATAAAAGCCAATAGTCATTGTAAGTAATGACAGATAAGAGGAGTTTTGTTATTATTTTTCTTAGCATAGCTATAATACCCTCAACACTTTCCAGTTTCCATAAAACACATGCAAATAAAAGAACAAAGCATAAGCACTAGAGGATGCAAGAATGTTCGAAAGGAACAGCATAGATGATAAATCCTGAATTTCCTCACAGGGGTTTGGTAATGTTGCATGACATAAGGATTGTTTAAGGATCACAGATGGTCATGCCTTTACAAACAAGCTGGCATAGCTTAAGGAAAAGGACGAGCAACCAATCAAAAGAAAAGCCTGTTAGGTTTAACATACTCTAATAAGAGTAAGACAGTTATTTGCAATAACAATAAAATGTCACTTAGGAAAAGAAACATCCGCACAGAAGCTTAAATATTTTAGCTTAACACACTTCTCAGCCTTCTTCATGTGACTACCATAAAGTTTTAAGAAAAGAAAAGAGAGAAATGCAAATACCTCTCTGTCATAGCATAAGACAGCTTTATAGAAACAGTGAAAAAATATGAGTAAAATTTCATCATATGAAGCAATATTATCATTTGCAATATGAGTAAAATTTCATCAAATGACGCAATATTATCATTTGCGATATGTGCCATCTAAAAAGCAAATTGGTTTCTGAAATTGGGTCAACAAATAAGAAAATATGTAGTGGAAAAACAACTTAAATTGTCACAATAATTGGAAAAATCACATTCACTGAACTAGACAAAAATTTATATATTCTAACCATATTTTGGGGGGAAATAGCACCTGATGAAATGATTGCAGAGAGAAAACAAAATAGAAAAGGTGTTAATTGTGGCTTAGTAGTGTTTATCCATTTCCCCAATGAATGAGGGAAATATTTCAGAAATCATCCTTTGATAAAATCATATATATAGTTAACAACTGTGATAAGTAAATTTCTGGGTAATTTCAGAATTCATGGGACAGCCTCTATATTTTTGACAAAGTCTGAACGAGTTTAGTAAAATTTTTCCGTCACTTAAAAATATAAATCATATTTTAACAGAAAACAAGCTATTAAATGCAGGTAGACTGTAGCAAGATTTCTTCTATTTCCCTTCTCATGCACATGCATATAGAACCAAGAAAAGGAAAATGCTTAAGCTGCTCGGTTTTGAAATTACAAATGATCTCCCACTCAAATAAAGTTAATTCATGACAGATAAACTAACCTGTGAAGGATGATGCATTGCTCAATCCTGCAGAAAATGGACAAAGTTGAAGTGAGTATAAACATGATGAATTATGTAACTTATCAAATACACCAGCACAAAATTCAAACTGACATAATTGACCTAGAAACCAATATACTCATGCTAATGATTCAGTGGGAGTGACATTCAGTAGGCAGATTATGTATGAAGCTACAGCAATACAATTTTGGTATTCTGCATCAAAAGCCAGGTCAAAAGACAAAGAACAAGCACACAAATGAACAAACACAAACAACAGGTGTAACTTGTCTCAAAAATGTTTCGCCCCGTTAAAAAACCATAGCCAAAAGCATCCCAGCATAGATGATACAGAAAGTTCAAGGCTTTACACGCTATAACAGTATGTATGATTATAGCATTTATATCTAAACTATCAGATAAATGTCTCACATGAGCTCTTGGAGAATACATTAATTTGTTCAAGAAAATGCCACATGGGGCAACCTTTTCTTGAGCAGCACTATCTAAGTGTTTTGATCCAAGTTAAGAAAACCAGAATGTTTTGAGGTATTCAAAGAAGAACAAGAAATAGTTTCAATTGAATAACAAAGCACGGGCAAAATATTGTTGATTAGCATTTTGAACTGCCAAGAATTATATTTTTCACGTTATCATATCCATTTAAGCAATTGTACTAACCCGTGCTTTCAGACCATCAAAAGGCACTCAGCATATCCAAGCACGGAAAAAATCACAGGGAGAGCAAGTACCACAGATAACCAAGACGGGAACCATAGCCAAATGTGTTTCTCAACAGAAAATCATCTAAATGGCTTCACTAAAATGTCTCTACATAACTTAGTGCAGCAAATTCAACCATGGTCTCCACCTAATAAAAATCTGAAACGAACCATCTCAACCAACAAAATTAAGCTATTGAATGAGGCTCTAAAAATTGTTTTATCTATCACACCCACCCCTCAAGTGAAAAGTCTTTTGGGTGAAAACTTACACAAGTCCATCAGCACCTTGTGCTCCGTCATTAAGGTTTTAATACTATGATAAAAAACCATCTTAATCTGAAAATTAAAGCCGTTAGGTCCAAGAATGGTTTTCCATTACTCTCTAGCACCATTTTTTAGCATTCAAATAATTACAAATACGAATACAAGCATTTAAAACATGATTAATGCTGTATCTCCTTGGATACAAAAAAAATACACATACTAGGTTATGAAATTAAAAGGATTGATGCTTGACACTACCGAGACACTGTATAGTTCGAGAATCCAAAACATAGCACCGGCATCCACATGAACATGAAGGTTGGATTTCAAAGTAAAATACTTGAAGATATCTCTCTGGCATGGATCTGAATCTAACTAAAACTAGGTTTCCAACTAGTACAACTAAAACCCAGAATTGTTTGAACAAGATAAAAAGTGTGTACCTTAGATTTCTGTAAGAAGTTGTCTGATTTGCCATTTTATTTGAGAATTACAGTAAAAGTGATGGAGGGAGTGAAGAAAGAAATGATATAAAGATAGAGGTAGCGATAGATCTCTTAACCTTGAGGAATGGAGAGGAGAGGCTGAGAAGAGCAATCACAGTCACAAGGAGAGCAAATTGGAGAAGATCGAGCAACAGCAACAAACCCTTCTTTCAAGTGCCAGTAAAGAGGCGGCCCCAGAATGTATCCTGCTATACACACCGCCATTAACCCCAACCCCACCTTCACCGCTGCCGCTTGCTGCTTCTTCGTTGCCATTCCTTATCTATCTGTATGTAGTATCTACTACTAATAAGATTTCCTTCTCAAGAAATCACAATTACTTGTGCTTTCTTCTGCTGCTACTCGAGCTAGATTTTCTTGAAATCCAAATAACACTGTTTAGTTAATTTATCTTGAGAAGGGAAAAAAGTGACAACTGGTAAGGAGTCATTGAATCTGATTGACTTGCTGTCTCTCTCTCTCAAAATAACCTTTTCTTGAGTCGACTCTATTGCTGGTAGTCGGTGATGCTACCGCCCTTTAAAATACTGTCCTTTCCTTTTCCATTTCTGACTTTCATCATTTCAACAGTTTATGACGATGTTTGGCTGTTTCTTCGTAGTTATTTTTAAAATATTTTTTATTTTAAAATATATTAAAATAATATTTTTTATTTTTTAAAAAATTATTTTTTATTAATTTAAAATAAAAAATTTATTTTTTTAAAAAAATATTTTTATAAAGCAAAACAAACAGGAACTTAATATGTGTTTGGCCTTTTATCATAGTTAAAAATATAAATTTTTAAAAAATATAAGTATAGGGTTAAAACTAATACTAAAAAGATTTTTGTATATAAAAGGCCTTTTATCATAGTTAAAAATATAAATTTAAAAAAAATATAAGTATATAGTTAAAACTAATACTAGAAAGATAAAACCTTGTTTTTAGTATTTCAATTTAATTGTGTTTTCTAAAAAGAAATAGTTTTAAATTATTTTTTAGTATTTTTAAATTATTTTAATATATTATAATAAAAAACCTTATTTTAATATATTTCCTAACAAAAAATATTTTAAAAAAATAACTTTATTATTACCCTCCCAAACAAATCTAAAATAAATGAAAAGTAAGCCTCTAGAAATGAAAAATAAATTATTTCAACTCTTACGAAACCAATATTTAAAAAAATAATTACTTATGGAGCTATTGCAAAACGCAGATTACAAGGCAAGGCAAAAACAGAAACTACAGCAATACCAAACGGGTTATAAAACTTGTTAATAACATATTAAATATGTGCTTTAATACTAATATAAAAAACATAATATGATAATTTTAGATGTGAAAATAAACACAAGCTTAACAATGACATGATTCTCTCTAGCAAACACAGAACATAGATATAAATACAATAATATAAAACATAAATATGAAACACAGAGAAAGAAAGCTTACTTATATTTTTACCAAGGTAAATACATGATATATGGATTTGGATGAAGATATTATAAAGATAACAACTTTATAATATGAGGCTTGATATATGGATTACAAAGATATTATAAAGAAATCGCATGCCATATTTTCCCATATTTTCTCTATTTACATGGGAAAATATGGCAAATTTAAAATTTTACAAATTCTTGTAATTATTTTAAAAGGTTATATGATGAAATTACATGTCTTGTCTCCCACCGGTTGGAGTGATTTGTTGCCTTTGCAAGTAGAGAAAAACTTGTCTTATTATATGGACAGAAATCCTTGAAGTAGGAGTAAAACGGACCAGGAGAATATTGGCCTGAATAGACTTGTCATCCAGGCATGAGAAGAGAGGCCCGGAGAAAAAACAAAAAAATAAGCCATAATTATTTTATTAAATTTAATATAAAATAACACTGCTTAAGATTTAATTATAAAAATAATACAATTTAATGCGTAAAATGAGTAATAAATAATATTTGTGACTATTTAAAAAAATAGATATAATTTTATTAGATTTTAAAAAAAAATATTTAAAGTTAAATAAATAATATATTTATTATAATGACCATAAAAATAATATTTACTTATTTATTTTTAAAAGATAATTTAGAACTCCTCCAAATTAATTACATTGACTTAATGGTGGTGAGTGGCAAAACTTCTATAAGATGAGTATTGCTTTTTGGTTTCCTCCACTCCAAATTAATTACGATTAGACGAGGATTATCATATCTCTCTCCCCTTAATTATCTGTATAATTTGGGATAATGATTTAATAATTAGGAATTGGATATCTCAGTTGTTTTAATGGCTTTTGCTTTCTAGCAGAAACTTCCGAGGAATGATATAATCCATGAATGATAATATCAAAATCTAGGGTAAACAAACTTTGAATGACCACCATTAATTAATTTTAAGGATTTCTAATATCTTAAATAAATTATTTATTTGAAATTAAATAAATATTATCTTTATAGCCAAGATAATATTTATTTATTTATTTAAATTTTAGATTTTTTTAAATAAAATTACATTCGATATTTTTTTTTTCTGAAGAGTTATATGTGACAAGTTTCAAATTGTGATATTTTTTTAATTAAATTTTAGATTGTATTATTATTATTTTTATTATACTACTTTGAAAAAAAAAACCTTAATTAGATAGGTATATAAATGACAATGCATATATCTTCAGATATGTATGGCTTTATATATATATATATATATATGAAAGTGAATGAAAAATAATTAAAAACCAATATTAAATTAAAAAAAAAAAAGCAAAGACGAACGCAAAACTTAAGAAATTCTCATATTTAAGATGTTAACCCCATTTAACCTCTATTAAATTCTCCTCCATTGGGTGAGAACTAATTAAATAAAGTCATTTAACAATATGAATTACATCATATTTTTGAAGTACAAGAACCAAAAATTAATGATACTCGAGAACTTAAAAATTACTACTTTCATGTTTCTTTCCATCCGCCAATTATTAATATGATATATCACATTATTTCTATTAATTCAACATTAGGAAATGTTTTTAGACTGGCTTGGATATCAACTAAAACTAAGTTTTTTTTATTTTTCAAATGATCTTTAAGACACACTTATTCACATTAATTTGGTGTATTAAAAAAAATCAAAAAATTATCCTCAATACTAACTATAGTATTTGAACCTAAAGAGTAAAGAAAAAAAAAACACCATACCTCCTTAACCATGAAACAAATTCTAGAATTAAACTTGCATAAGTCATTATTATCTAGTGTTTAATTTCATTAATTTAATTAGTAATAACATGATAGTAAAATTTAAAAACATGAATGTTTGGTCATTACACTTTGAATAAAGTTTGTCAAATAAACAAAAAATTGATTTGATTTTAATATTTATAATTTGATTTTGATAAATTAGTGGATAGATTAACCTTGAAATGAAACGTGATCCACATAAAAAAAATAAAAATAAAAGCACTAATTCAATCAAATCAACATGTTGTTTTGACTAAATAGTTATTAATAAGCTAACTTCTAAGCTTATCAAATTTTAGAATATAAATAAATTTTCTCTAAAATAAGAGAGCTTAAACTTGATCATAAAACTTAGTCTTTTTTATTACCTAAGTTAAACAAGTTTTTATAAGTGAACTAGACTAAAGATGAGTAGTTTTATGTGATTTATTAGCTATCTAATTTCATTTAATTTGGTTGTATTGGTTTTTTTAAATTAAATTTAATTGTAGTTGAATTAGAGATAAATAAATTTTGATTTAGTTTAACTAAAATTAGATATAGAGATGGATGCAAGAAGAGTTCACTTGACTAGGCACCAACTTGTTTTTTAACCTCTTTTTAATTATAAAGTTATAATTTATTTTTCAATAAAATATATAAGTTTTTATCATATTACTTGTGGAAAAAAATATGATTGTATATATGAATTTAAAGTTTAAATATAGAATTTTATAATTCATGGATGAAAATATAATTTGTTTTTTAAGTTTAAATTTTATTTTTTCAAAATAAAATATTATACTCGAGTATATAAAGTTTTCTACCTAACCTTATTTAACCATACCTAACCTTATTTAACCATGTTACCGATGAAATCAAATGATAGGCTTTAGTGAAGCAAAATCCAATCTATAAGTATACTATAAACATAGAAACAAGAAAAATAAAATAAAATACCAATCAAACCAAAAAACTAATAAAGACTAAGATTTTAATTGCATTTAGGTTTTCTATTATAGTCTTTTCCCTTTTCTTTTCCTTTCATGGAATGAATTTGATTTATCTTAATGTTATTTACTATTTGATAATAATTATACTGTTGTTTTTCTCAATAATTTTCTTGTGTTTTGATCATTGCATGTGTTTTTGTTTGTTTTGATTAATATATTAGCTAGTTGCATTACTTGAATGGTTAATCTGTAAATATTTAAATATATCTAAATTAACTCAGTGTTTTACATGATCTTATATTTGAATAAATATTGCCATATTTTTTGTCTATTTATGCATTGTGTTTGTTTTTATCTTCAAAAATCACATATAAATAATTTTTCAAAAAGTCAAAAAAAATTAAGTTAGGAAATTGTGTTCTAGCAAAAGGTTTTGTGGGAAAAATAAGGTTTTTTTGCTAGTTTTTTTTTCTTCTATGCATGACTCATTTTCTTTTTGTTTTTAGGCTATTGGAAAAATATTTAGGTTACAAAACTATATTTGTATGGAATTATCTTTCTTCTTGCATATCCTCTTTTTTTTTTTTGTTGAAATGAACAGCTTTTTTTTGTTGAAATGAATAGCTTCAGTCATATGAGTTTTTATTAATTCATTATCAATTATAATTGTTGATATTGTTTTTTATATTAATTACAAATGGAAAACCTTGAAAATACAAATACATCATCCAATACCCCAATATCAATCATCACCCCGAACTTCAAACATTACTCCAATATCAGCCAGTAAAGCATCCACTACGAATATTAAATGTAAACAATTTCAACTCCTTACATCAAGGAAAAATTGTTGTTGATAGAAAAAAAAATCATAAATTTGGGATTGTTTCACAAACCTTGATGGTGATTTTGAAACCTTTGGAGCTACATATAATTATTATGAAAAAAACTATGTTTGCTATATTATTTTTGATAACACAAGTAATATGTAGAGTCATTTAAAAGTATATAAAAAATTTTCTTTTGTGGTTGATAGGAAGTAAAAGAATTTGGTATTAGAACCTAAAAATAAAAAGGTGAAATGGAAGATTGAAATATGGAAAATCTTATGGTAATATATCATAATTCTGATGAGTGTAGAAACACATGAGCAAAAATATTTATATTTGATGAGTTGCATTTTAATTTTATAAAGGGTTAGGTTTTAAATTATTCTGTAAGATTGTATAATCTAAATTTAATGTTCCTTCTCATTTTACTATTATGACAGATTGTTTGAAAGTTAATATGGAAAAAAAAGAAAAAAATTAAGAAAAACTCTTAAGGGTTAACATATTTGCTTAACAACTAATACC